TCCGCAGTTCACAGCGCAGCGTTCCTCCGCCTTCTGTCAGCGTTGGCAAGCCCCCCCCCCCCCCTCCACCAACGGAGACATTAACGGCGACGCCTTCCGTCGTGGCTTATTTGAATGGCGTATTACTCCCCGTAGCTCCGGTCAGAGCCCAGGGCAGGCCCTATTTGGCCGCCCCCTGTCGTCATTCGTGCTTGCCTATCGGACCAGTTTTGCCCCAGCATGGCAAGAAACCGGTGACGAAATCGACAGTCGTGCCTCTGTCCAGGCTGAAGCAGCCAGTCAGCACTACAACCAGTCTGCCCGTTCTCTGCCTCCCCTCCACCTTGGTTGCCCTGTGGATCTACAAGATCCCCGCAGCAAGTTGTGGAACGCCCACGGTACCATTGTCGCCATTGGTAGCGATCGCGACTACATGGTCAAGCTTCCCAGTGACCGAATATAATGGCGGAACCGTCGCATTCTTCGTCCTGTTGTCTTGCCGGTAGCACCTGCACAGCCGATGCCTGCTACCCCCATCACTCAGCCTGCCCCGCCAGTCCGGCGCAGTCAGCGCCGCCGCCAACTCCCGTCTAGGCTGAATATTTCGAACAATCGTGGCCAAACTTATGATTAGCTGCCTGTGCGTCTTTCTGTCTCTTGTTGAGCTCAGCTATGTTCGTATTCAGTTATCTCTATATTATTTGCTGTCCTTTCTAGTTTGTATTAAATGCCTTGTTGTCATCTCACAAGGGGCGTGAGATACATCTATGTAAATGTAATTGTTATATTTCTATCTCAGAAGGGACGTGATGTATCATGCTGGCTACTTATGTATTGCACATGTACTTCAAGTTGCTATCACCCGTATAACGCGTATTGTTACGTTATACGCCTTGCTTCACGTGATTACGTCATGTCTCTATTGGACGCATGCACGCATCCATATTCTATATTCGTGTGTTCTTCTCCTTTCTCTTCTTCCTCACTTGAGAATGTAAATAATTAGTTTATATTATCTTGTCACCGAACTCATTCCTCTTGTCTAGCAGTAGTGGTGTGCACGAGAACATAACAGCAGGATGGTTCAGCAATGCCACTCTGATCACGTCCAATATAGATACGCTGAGAACGGCCCAACAGATAGTCAGAAAACCACTTCAGGGCTGTCCCTGTTATGCCGATATCGAATAGGTCCTGAAGTAGCCATTTATGACGGACCTTGTCGAATGCCTTAGACATATCTAGAAGGCACATGCCAGTACACCAACGCTTGTCCCGTGCAATAGGAATACGATTTAGCATGAGTACCACGGCATCCTCCGTTGAGTGGCCAGCACGGAATGCAAATTGAGTCGCGGGGAGGGTACCAGATATGTCCAGAAACTGAGCCAGCTTCTTCTGTACGATTTTTTCGAAGAGGTTTGACAATATGGGAAGTAGGGAGACTGGACGGAAGTTAGTGGGAATATACGGGTTCCCAGCTTTGAACAGCGGGATTATGTGTCATGGCCAGCAATCAAGGACATCTGAGAGTTGTAATTTTTGCACTCCTCCGAGGTGTGATTTTTGGCGTGCTGGGCCAAGCACAAGGAAGCCATCTGCAAAAAAACTGCAGAAAATGGTTGTTGTTTGATCCTTTGGTGTAATCTTTGTTTCTAGTCGAAGCTAGTTGCTGTTTGGAGCAGAAACGCTGAAATTGTCTATTTTCTGCATGTACTCATGTACTCAGGCATGCAGTCTCACTCGTATTTTAGCTATTTTTCTGGATTGGATGCTGCTCTGCGCCCCTTGGTGAACATTTCCTGCGCTCGTGGAGCAGCTGAAAAGGACCACTGGTATGTCTGGTTCCTGGTTTGAAAGTGGAGAGTCGACTTTTGTGCCTTGAAAAAGGAGTAGAGAGCGATAAAGGTACGTCTGTGGCTGATTTTTGAGTGCTCCTCGTACATTTTTGATCGTGATAGAAATTCTCAGACCAAAGTCAGACCAAAGTCAGCGCGATGATGGTCGTACAGTTTTCTTGTGAATTTTTTAGTTGTTTCATCTCGTATCTATGTCAGTATCGTGATGGTGACGTGGAGAGGGTGATTTTCTTCCTCTAGGCTTCGTTCGGCCGACTTTGCTTAGTCCTCGTTGAAAAGTGATCCTGAAAAAAAGGTCGATTCGCAAAATTATGTTGATTTTCAATGTACAAGATGACATGCGATTGCTGGCTATGGCGACTTTGAAAGCTATGGGGACAGTGCCATTGACGAGCGAGGCATTACACAACGTGGCCACGGACGCAGCTAAGATATCGGCACAGCTTTTCAGAAGGTGGCCAGGTATCCCGTCGCTTCCTGTAGCTTTGGCAGAATTGATTTGTCAGAGAAGCCGTTCTACTTCGTCAAAAGAACTTGCGGCAATTCTGACATTGCAGTCTGAGGCTGTGGTCCTTGCGGTAGCGGAATGCTATGAGGACGTGCCTAGTCTGTTTCTAATGCCTGGAAGACTGACAAAACTTCTTCAATGGGGCAAGTAGGCTCCACAAATACTCTTTTCCTGTTCGTAACGGAGTTTATGACCTTCCAGTGCTTACCCGGGTTCTGACTGGACGCGGCACATTGCGCTCCGAAGAAATCGTTGCACTTTCGGCGATAGGCATTTCTGGCGCTTGAGCGTGCTTGCTTGAACTGTAAGTGAAGATTCTGGTTTCCCTTATCTCGTAGCCTCTGCCAGCATTCCTCTTGCAGTAAAATTCAAAAACTACACGCAACAATTCAGTCACTTTTACATTAACGTTTTCATCGAAAATGTTGGTGGCCCACGGAGAAGCTTGTCGTTTGGAGTGACATGTGATCACCGCTGCTTTTCCTTGCCAGAGTCAACAATACCCTTTGTTCTGCAGCGTTGGGAGTGGTGTTGGAGTAGAAATTGCTGACTGAACATCGCGGAGGACGAGCTTTGCTGCGCAGGTGTGAGTTTGGACGTATTTCAGAATGGTCAAGTGGAAAAATTCAAAAATGTTTATTTCACCAAAACCCAAAAAATGATGATGGAGGACATGTCCTCAGTGCTAGAAAAGGTTTTCTACTTACTGCCGGTGTATAGTTTTTGCTAACTGAGAACGTAGCTCGCTGTTTTATCAGCGTTTGTAATTTAGCTATTCTCAAGACAATCATTTGTGGCGTCAAGGGATGATTGCCCTCGTCTTCTCGGACGCTGACGTAGCTAAGTGGTGCTGTCCCAAGAACTCTTCTAAGGTGAGGCAATGTTTTAGTGATAGAGTTTTGTTCGTAGCTTATTCTTGTACGCTGTGCCGTGGCTCGTTTTGAAAACCCATAAATCGTGCCAATTCTGGGCCAAACTTGAGATTTATGCCAATGTCATGGTTCCCTTCAAAAGATTTTGCCCGCGCTTTGGGATGTCGATCTACACCCCAAAGCAAACCTACCTGCAACATTTGAGCGAAATCTGAGAGATCAACTTGCACAAATGTTCTGGTTTTCTCACACATGCTCTCTTAAGCTATGCAATTCGTTGTACACATTGGGCACAGAGAATATAGTTCCCGCCAAGCCTAATAATTAATTGAAACATGGGAGCAGTGAGGGAAACTTGAATTACAAAAAAATTTCTGGGGTTAAGTCGAGAGTCAAGAAAAGTGATCATGCAGTATAACTGCTTCGAGATTAACTGTTATCATACTGGCATCATTTCTCTCGCACAAATGGCTGTCGAGCGAACATACTCTCCTCCTGGAATTTGCGAGCACGCATTGAATGGAATTTATTCTCAAATCACTTCACCGTAAAGGATTTTAATCCAACTGGGCTCAATATGAAGATCAGGACAAGGTGCATCCATCCTGTCAACCAACCTTCAGTTCAGAAGGCACACCATGGAGACTTCATCTTCCTCTTCAAACTCCCCCGCAACAATTCAATATAGCATTCATTTTCAGTTTCTTGTTCAAACACGAATGATTTCCACGATTCACTATGCACTGAAAAGCAGAGATCCATGGTTTTAAGCTCGGATACTGAGCCAGTAATAAATTGTAACAAAGAGAAGAAACACATGAGAACAAGTTATGCAGCAACTATCCACGACTATAACAAGATGATAAACAGTCAGAAAGTGGAATTATAGGGCACATAACTGACAGGCTACTGAGACATTCAGCGACCCGAGACCTAGCGCTAACACATTTCCAGTGCACAAACCAACAGCCTTCCAACTTGGAAGGTTCATGGTTAAGTAGGACCAAAGAGGGGAAGGTGACCGCAACGAGAATGTGCACAAGCTAAGTTCAGCGGCAACAAAGAAAGCCGACTGTTACAGGACGATGACGAGACCAGTTAATAACATGACAATGCGGTCTCACTACAATTCGAAGCAGCAAAGCAACACACCACCCAACTTGAGTGGGTCAGCAATATCTCAGTAGACTGTCATTTTTGTGCCCTATTATCCCACTTTCTGACCGTTTATCATCTTGTTACAGTCGCGGATAGTTGCTGCATAACTCGTTCCCATGTGATTCTTCTCCTTTTTACATCCGTGTTGTTTTTTTGTTTTTTTACTAGAGCCACGTTAACCCGTCATGTGTGAGTGTGCGTCTTTTGATGACCTTCACACATGACCTGTGCCAGAAAGAAATCTCCTGGCCCATTGTATAAAACTACAAAGTCATCAACAACAACAAAAAGCATAGTCACACACTGCCATGATTTCTGTGTTCATCTCGTTGCTGCTCATTCCAACTTTGCCCTATTGCCAATAAGTGTATATCCCTATAAAGATGAGCTCACGGGTCTTTTCAATGGTATTTAAATAATATAATTATTATTGTCACATTCGGGCTATTTTGACAGAATTACAAAGTACACTGGTCAATGTAATAAAATATAATATTACACAAACTGTTGAACGAGTAAACTCGTCTCCATTCGTTTTTTCCAGACCTCTCATGAGGAATATGCTCGTCCTTACCACAGAAAGAGCTAACTAATGAAAATGGAAGGTGTTAATGCATGTCTTACCGTTGCTAGCATCCGTCCGGGTATTACTGCATATAACAATAGGCCCTGAACCAGGGCACGGAGTCGTCTTTGGGTAGCATGACACTTGTCCGGTCAAATTCGTATAAACTGTGTTCATAGTGCCGAGTGCAGAGTCAATGTGAGCGAGGTAATTTAGGAAGCAGGTTGAACTTGTTTCTGAATCTTGCAAAATACTACGTCCAATACTGGTACAGCGCCCAAAGGCACCTCCAGAAGGGGTTCCCATCCAAGAAGTGGCGCTGGCGTAGTACAAACCTTGGGGATTATTGCAGTTGAAGTGAACTGCACATAGGAATGAAGAAAATACAATGTGGTCAACATCAAAACTCTGCTAGACCCTTCAAGCCTAGAACAGGAGATGTTTGTTGAAAGTCAACCTGAAACCAGCATTATGCCATACATGTACATGGTAACTTGCATGCAACGGTGCAAGATTGTTCAGTGCATCAACATCACGTATCAAAATGCGTTCGTTTTGTCCCTCTTCAGTCTTAACATATTATGGCGAAGCATTCTGTATCTCTGGAAAGTTGAACTCATTTCCTTACCAACAGTGTGTCGTTTGTGAAGATCGGCGGTTCTTTCACAGAGTAACAAAACTTTGTACACTGGTCTATTCACCACGGTACACGACGCAAATCGAAGTGAGGTTGTACACAATCACCAGTGAACCTGCATGGGGTCCAGGCGCGTGTACACGAGTCCTCTTCATGCAAAGGGCTAACCAATATTCCACTCATGAATGTGACGTGAAATTGATTTTGAAAAATCTTGATGATTTCGTTGATGTGTAGTGATGACGGCAGAATTATTCCTATTTAATGCTACATGAATATTAAATTTTGTGTCTTCACGTCGTCTATTTCCAGTGCTAATAGCAGATTCTAAAACTCATGGGTTCTGGCAACTGGGGTCCTCGAATGTTTTGGAAATGTTGACCAAATCTATCAACCACAGGGTGACAGAATCGATACAGTCCTCACAAAAATGGGGCTGCACAATATACCAAATTTGCCCAAATTCGAATGATCTTCGTCCGAGGAAAATGAGAGGCTTCCGTCCTCCTTTATTCCCAATCGAAATTGCCACTTCCACCAAACCTAGGTGACTACGCCCTACTAGATGGGATTTTGTATGCAAAATGTTACCAAAACCCCCATTTCATTCCTATAAAAGCACGAATGAGTGCGAGTGGTGTATATGTTGTAGATTTTTGTACGCTGAGTCGACTGATCCGAGAAGGCCGCGATGCATCTTTCGGTCCTTTTCCCAATCGAACATGGTAGAAAAAAGATTTAACGTGCTCATGCTTACCCTAGTCCCCTGGTCACCGTGCCTGCAGGCTACAACTTTCAAACCAAGGTTCCACTAGTGCTCAACTCGAGTGACAGGAACTCGCCAAATCACTACATATTATGTGATACAATTAGAGTGACTTCTGGTAATGTAAGATTTGTAAAATCACTGCTACCCAATGGAGAGATTGAAACTTGTGTCGCAATGCTGAGTTTCACTCATTGCTATGATCATCAGGCAACTGATGGCTCCAAAACGGGCAGCCTGAACAAAAGGGGGAGCAAGGTGAAAAAATGCTAAAACTCTGTTAGTCAGTTGGGTCGCGATGCTGTCTCTTGCACGATAGGTCGTGGATAGGAATCCTGCTTGGTAATACGTTCCGTCTATTTTTCTTTTCTTTTGAGGGCTGCAATTGGGTGCACTTAGCATATTTCACACAATCTGGGCAAATTTGCGTCCCATATTCTCCTGCGCTGTTGTTTTTTGGGGACTGCATCGGTTCTTTCACCCCGTAGTTGATAGTCTTGGACTTCATTTCTAAAGATTCGAGGAGCCCAGTTGCCAGAACCCTGAGGTCTTAGAACATGCTATTGGACCTGTTTTTGATGTATATATGTTGGACTCAGTAGAGCGTCCAGCCCCTATATGATGTCCAACCCCTATATAGAGTCCATTGGTCCAAAATCCACTGTACAAAGTCCAAACTTGGAATCAACTGTGAGCTCAAAGTTTAGATTGACATCACTCCCTGTATAGAGTCCAGCCAATTGGCTTCACCCCTATATAGAGTCCATTGGTCCAAAATCAACTGTATGGAGTCCAAACTTTGAAATCAATTATAAGGAGTCTTAAGGTGGCAGTTCCCCTTTTCCGTATACTACACTCTTTGGACCAGAAGTCATGAACAGCTAGGAATATCCAAACTAAACTTGGCAGTGATGTTGAGGGTGTTCATAACTAGGTTCACAATCATTTTTTCAAACATCTCACATATCTTGAAGTGCCGAACTTCCTCTCAGCCAAAATGCGTTCATATCGCACGTACAGGGCAAGGATTGAGCCAAAAGAGAACAGAGGCTAATGGTGCCCAGCAGTATAAATTTGCTCAGAACTCATGCTGACTGACAGCTCAAGGTGCTAAACTACACTAAACCTTGCAAACACATGTACAGTGGAGCATTGTGATTTTCAGTTTTACAGATCAGAAACGCAATGTTTACAGATAATTCAGAGACATGCCAGCTGGAAGAACCTCGCTGGGATATTGACAGTTCTGTTTAGTTTAGCACCTAGCCAATTTCACGTAGATGTAAATAATGCCCAAGATTATGATTCTATGACAAGTAAGCGCTGAGATATGTTGGCTCAAACTTGTCGGAGTCCATGAAAAAGAGGGTCAAATTCAGGAGAAAGTACACTCCAGTTTCACCTTTCAAAAGCCACCAGCAGCATTTGTTTCTTCTTCCTTGTGCTGTGACTGATCCAGAAACCCTTTCTTCACTGCTCTGCAATGCTTACTTGCCTTTTGCTCTTATGACTACTTTCTACGCTTTTGGTACAGCTTTCCTCTTGAAAGACACCTAGATTTCTCTCCAACGACGGACTAACAGTGCATCCCGTACGCTGTACTACTTCGGCAAGCTCACTGTGGTCTTCATTGAACACGATCACTGCCAGGAACACAGCAGTCTCAACAGTTAAGGAGCTACAGAACGATTCCTTTGGACAGAGATGTCAAATAGTGCCATAGAGTGCTTCATTGGCATTCTGTGTGGCACGACGAACACAGCCCTGTAGGAGGGATTTGTCGGCAAGATTGACATATACAGGTTTTATTTCTTCAAAGACTGCAACAGAGATAGTGCTGTTCGACGATGAAGAAACTGCCACAGAAACATTGCCATATGCACAATTCTATTGCTACCACCTGCACCATGAGTCCTTCTGGGCAGGACTGATTGCATTTCTCGGCATCCTTGGACTGTATGTTGTGGCAAACAGATGCCCAAATAACACGGGCCATCGCTGTGACGAAGCCTGCAATCCTGCCAATAGCATTTCCAAAATAGTTCCGTAGGGAGTCTCCTTCCTTGTGCAGAAATTACAATAGCGGGTTAACACTTCCACGTCCACAAATTTGTGCGTCTCCCAAGCAATCACAGTCTGCATGCCATATACGGAGCTGCATCCTCGTCGCATCCATGTTCTGTTCGTTGTGATGGCGATTTCGGCTGGCAATTCCTCCCCGGCGGCAACTTGTTGTGTCAACACAACTTTAGCAGCATTTTTCATGCTCAAACTTGCAGTAGCTTTAACAGCTTGGTGAAGATTCTTCACGAGGCGCTGGTAGTTCTTCTTTGCAACCGGCGCTGGCAAATCGAGGAATGCACACAATTTCCGGAAATCCTCGCGGCCTCGTTCAAGCAGGCGCATAGCCAGTACGCTCTTTCTACTCAGTTCAAAATAACTGGATGTCTTTCCCACTGCGGGCGGTGAAGCAACAGAAGTGCAGTAGTTGCATGCAACTTCAATTATGGAGAGTAGGCCAGCTCTTACATTTTCTGCAAACTGCTGATGTGGACAATAAATTCTGCAATTAAATTTAATTTCTGCAAACTAAAATTCCGGTTGTCAGAATCCAAGACTTCATCACTCTCCTCACTCGAGTCTTCATTGGAGTCACCAGCGCTCTCAGTATCCTCATCTGCAAGTAAGTTCAGATCACCAGCCAAGGGTTCGCAGCTACGAGACGTGTCAGGTACTCCCAATTGCTCAGAGTCACTTTCAGTTTGAGCACGAGATGCAGACTCGTTTTCTTTCTCCAGATCTCTGCGCTAGGGGCTCTGGAACTGGTTCCCGTAGAAAACACGCTTCTTGGCTTTGTAGTTAGCAGACTGCGGACAGAAGACACAAGCTACAGAGAACAGCGGACACGCCAATTTCCAAATTTTTCTGTACTTCCTTTGACGCAGATTTGCATTTTTTGTTCGTGTTGACAGTGTCACCGTACCATTGCTGACTTGCTGACTGTACTGCAGAGCTGAGTAGATGTACGGGTCGGTATGGGGTACAACTACAAGCCAACACGGCACACACACACACACACACACAATGAGCTGGCGGTCTTGGCACCCTCCGCGATCCACGCGGTGAACCGGAACGAAGATAGATCGTGAACTGCATTCAAAGTGGAGATCAGCTGATTTTTTACAAATTCCCAGTGGGAGTTGGTTTGAATTTTTAAAATGTCCCAACCGTCGTGTTGTTTACCGCATACAAATTACACCAGCGGAAAGTTCAGCACTTCAGGAGGAAAATGAGCCGGATATGGCCTCATTCTGACAACTTTCATTTGTTGGTCCTTTTTTTGACCCAAAAAGGGGATAAAGCCTCGGTCACACTACGACAAGTTTGAAGCTGGACGCAGCGTCAAGTCGCAGCACTTGACGCAGACGCGGGGTCACACAGTGTTTTGTTTTTCTTGCAGCTCATGACTGCCGCGGCCTGGCGCATTTGTCTACGTCACAAAATCAACAGGGAAACTCAATGACGACACGGATTCCCACGGAAACCGGCCTTTTGCTTATTATACCAAAAAATTGTCGGACAAAGTTTCCATTGATTTTTGATTACAAGAAGACGAAAGGTCCAGATCCAAGGCCGGCCACGCGTGCACGATCGTTGTTGTTGTTTCTTTCCGAATTTGAAGCCATTTTCAGTTGTAGTGTCATGGATCAGGCAAGAAAAGTCCGCATCGCAGCTGTGTTTCTACTGACTTCGTCATACTGGTTGTCCTTTTTGGGGCTCTTGACGACAACACAACACTCACAAGTCAACAGGCTCCAATTGGCCGATGACCCACTCAAACAACTGGTCCTTTCTCGACTTTATTTTCTTTCAGAAAACGCGTCGCTCTCTCTCTTCCGCCAGGTTCGGAGCAGGGCAGCATCGGCCTCATAGGTCCATGGACTCATCTTGAAAAACAA